GCTAAAAGACTAACAATATATGAACAAATGAACAAACCGACGAACGAACCAACAAACAAATGAACAAACAAACGAGTAAACGGATGAATGAATGAATGAAAAAAATGAAAGAATGATAGATGTTATACTGCATTTCCATTAGGATATCCAACATTGCGTGTTTCTTAATGAGGGTAGGAAGAACGGATGGACGGACGGACGGACGGATAGATGGATGGAGGAATGAATGTATGTATGATGGATGAACAAATGAGTGAACAAACGAACAGAAACTCTCATTGGTTTAAACGAACAAGAGAACCGACGACAGAACGAAAGAACGAATGAATGAAATAAAACAAACAACCAAACAAACAGACAGACAGACAAACAAACAAACAAATCAATGAACGAATGAGCGAATTAGCTAATGGATGAATGAATGATAAATTGAGATCTTAAATGTGGATAAAGAACTATCAATGTATTAATTGGCTTTAACGCCTAACCCTGTCTAAGAGACGATCCGAAGGATATCTCAATACATGTCTGTCTGTCTGTCTCTCTGTCTGTCTGTATGTGTATGTGTGTGTGTGTGTATGTGTGTGTGTATGTATGTATGATGCCGTACACACATGTTCTAAGAATATACAGAGAGATGGCAATAATGATAGCAAGGATGGAGTGATGAGAAAGATTCATGGTGCAAACATTGTAGAAGAAGATGACGACGACGATGACGACGACGATGATGATGAAAATGAGGATGGTGTAGATGATGAGGATGGTGACGATGAGGATGACGATGGTGATGTAATGAAAACAAGCGTCTGCATGCAACAATGATGCGGGTAGATTGTTTGATAAATCAGTTGCGCTTGAGAAAACATACATACATACAAACATAAAAACATAAAAACAAACATACAAACAAACAAGCCTGTATAAATACATACCTACATTCCTACATACAAACATACACATACACACACACACATATACATACATACATACAAACACACATACACACATACATACATAAAAACATACATACATGTATTGTTTATGTATGTTCTGTTCATGTTACATGCATCAAGTTTTATTACTTACCATATTAAAATGTGTGTTTTTGTTTCGTTTTGTCTTGTTTTGTATTTTTTGTATTGTTTTTATGTATAAAACCTATTGGTTTTATTTTTGAAATTGCAAAAAGGCAGTTGCATACTGTTTTTAACAGTAAAAAAAGGTATATATACATACATAAATACATACAAACAAACATGCTTTACAAACCTAAGATGCTTGCATACAAAAATATAAACATACATATAAACAAACGAACATACATTCCGCAACACGTATCTAGAGCCATGTCAGTTGCAGATGTAAGCACATTAAATCTGCGATTTCACAGGCCGTGAAACGAGCCCTCGACATTTTGTATCATTTTTGACGTTTTGTATGTTTGTTTCTATGTATATATATATGTATGTGTGTGTGTGTGTGTGTGTGTGTGTATGTATTTATGTATGTATGTGTGTGTGTGTGTGTGTGTGTGTGCGCGCGTTTGAGTGTGTGTGGGTTTACATACATATTTGTTTATTTAACTAGTCTAACAGCAGTAGTAGTAACATCGATTCGCGATTTTTAAGTTCGTTCATGTTGTCCTCATCATCATTCTCATCACCAGCAGCAGCATAAAATAAATGAATGAACGAGCAAACAAGTGAACAAACGGACAAACGAACGAACGAATGAATGATTTTTTTTGTATGGCACGCCTTGCGTTCGAACCAGGTTCATTTGTTAACGTTTGTTTTCATAAAATAGATCGATGTGTTTGGAAATATGGAAAGCCACTCAGTCAGGCGGCCATATCCATCAATCAAGAGATAAATTATGCAACTGCAATAACAATAATAATAATAATCATAATAATAATAACAATAATAATAATATTAATAATAATGAAAGCTTGACGGTGAAAATGGCCGCTGATAAGACAAAACCAACAAAAACAACAACAACATCACGAACAACATCAACACCACCGCCAACAACATCAACAGCCTCGGAACCATCAACAACAATAACAACAGCAACAAAAACAACAACAACACCAACAACATCAGAACCATCAACATCAGCGCCTAAACCTTCCCTACCGATTTTTCTACTCTCACAACTTCCGCAATTATTGCAGCAACTGCTACTACTACAACAACCACCACTACTACTACCGCCGCTACCGCTACTGCTACTGCTACTACTCGTAACCAACATGCAAGTACGCTCGACCGAAGCGAAAACACCGACACCTAACTCGATTAATCGAACCTTTACGATTCTAGACGATATCATAAACAACCCATCCCTATTTTCTTGCCGTAGCAGTAACGACAACAGCAGCAGCAGCAGCAGTAGCAGCAGCAACTTCAATAGCCAAAACAATTATAAAAGAATTATCGAAAATAATGTGGCCCTTACTGATGTCGTAATCCAAGGAAAGATAATCAAGATCAAGAAGAAACACTACACTGGCGACAAGGCCACGGAATTGGTTAAAAAGTTTAGAAAAACCCTTAGTGCAAACTCGATTAGAGTAGTAAAATCACAAAATAAAATTAGTAATACTACCACTACTACTACTACTACTTCTACTATTACTAATAATAATAACAATAATAATAATAATAACATGAGCGGTAGTAGTAGTAGTAGTAGTAGTAGTAGTAAGGCAGGTAATTTTAGTAACAGAAGTATTGACAGTAATAGGAGCAAAGTTTTAAAATCTAGAAACAGTAATTATGGTAGTAGTAATGGTATTGGTGTTGGTAGTAGTAGTAGTGGTGGTGGTAGTAGTAGTAATAATAATAATATTAGTAACAATATGAATAATAATAACAGAATTATTTTAAGCAATAATAGAAGTAGTGGTAGTAGAAGTAGTGGCAGTAGTATTAGAAGTATTAGAAGTAGCGTTAGTAGTAATAGTAGTGGTAGTGGTAGTAGTAGTAGTGGTGGTGGTGGTGGTAGTAGTAGTAGAGAAAGAAACATCAACGGCAGCTATCGATCTAAATATATCAATACATCTCGGAAGAGGCAAGCTGGTTACATCAACATCAATGACGTCATTAACAACGACATCACCAACAACAATAACACCAACATCATTGACGTCCTCAACAGCAACGTCAGCAGCAGCTACAGCGGCCACAGCAACGACAACTCATCATCAGATCAACAAAAAGTTCAACCATATGAACGCCTACGCCGGCAGCAACCACAACAGCCACAGCAGCAACCACAGCAGCAACCACCACAGCCACAAAAACGTCAACCACAACAGCCACAGCAGCAACCACAACAGCCACAAAAACGTCAACCACAACAGCCACAGCAGCAAGTCGCAATAATATCCATGACATTGAGGGTCGAGAAGGTTCACCGGGGTGAGCACTTGGTGCAGCCGACACAAAAGCAGAAAGAAAAATGCCTTAACCTACACTGTATAAACTCCAAAGTCTTAAAAAACCCGAAACCGGTCATGAGAGCCCGACTAATCGTCGATACCACTAAACACCGACTCGCTATGAATCGACTTTTTTCTAGAAACATCCCTAGCAGCAGCAGAAGTAGTAGTAGCAGCAGAAGTAGTAGTAGCAGCAGAAGTAGCAGCACTAATAAGAGCAGTATTGGTGGCAAAAACGGTAATAATGATAATAATAATAATAATAATACTATCGCAAGTATTAGTAGTAATAGTATCAGTAACAACAGCAACAACAACAATAATAATAATTATTATAAAAACAACAACCAAACAAACTTAACTAAATCGCAACGACAACAGCAGCAGCAGCCAACGAAGCAGCGACAACAACGACGACAACAGCAGCAACAACAACAAATGAAAGGGTATGAAGGCCCACAGCAACAACAACAACAACAACAACAACAACAACAAATAGACGAATGCGGTTATTACACGATGCCCAACCTAAAAGTCGGTCAACAGTATTTCTTCTTCCTCAGCGGCCACACCGAGCTAAAACCTAAGCGCTCTCTAATCCGGAGAAATAAGAGAGATGGGGATGGATGGAGGAGGAGTGTTATGATTGGAGATAGTGATGAATGGAGAGAAAGCAATAGAGTTAGAGATAGGACTGAATGGAAAGAGAGTAGTAGAAAAAGAGATAAATGGAGAAAAAGAGGGCAGGAGAGAGACAGCGAAAAGTGGACAGACGTTAAAAAAAGTGACCAACTTTCGACGATACACAGAGATGATGATGATGATGATGACGATAACGATAACGACGATGATGATAATGATGGTGATAATGAAGAAAAAGAGGACGACGACGATGATGATGATGTAGAAGAAAGATTAGTGAGTAAACTTAGAATATTTAAAAGAAGCCTTGCCAAAAACGGGATTGAAAATGCATACCGCCAAACGAACCAACACCAACTGTACAATAATGATGGTGACGAAGAAGAAGAGGAGTATGACAATAATGATAATGATGATGATGAAGATGATGATGATGACGATGACGATGATGACGACGGTGATGGTGGTTTGGTTATGCAAAAACGCCAAAATGGTAACATTGATAAGAGAAACAACTTGCGTAGCCATTATGATGATGATGATGATGACGAAGATGATAACGATGATGATGACGATGATGATGATGATGATCCAGTCGCAAATCTTTCTACTGGGGTTAATTATGGTAATGATAATTATGATAATAATGACGAAGATGATGATGATAATGATGATGGCAATGTTAATTCTCACGACGATAATGTGTACGATGGAATTGGTGCTAAAGTAAGGTATGAAAAACTTCTCGATAGCAACAACAACATCACCAACGACAACAACAATATTAATAACATCATCAACAACAACAAAAACAGCGATGATGATAATGACATGGGTGAAGATGACGACGACGATAACGAATTTATGTCCGGCATAATGAAATGTAATTTGAAGAGGTATCACATCGATAGGTTGTTCACTACGGATATATTCCCGGCTATCTTCAATAGAAACTTGACTAATGTTATCAAGAGAGTAGCTTGTTGTGGTCAGTTTGTCTATTTGTTTGTTTGTTTGTCTGTCTGTCTTTCTCTCTGTCTCTCTGTCTGTTTTTATCTTGTTTGTGTGTCTGTTTGATAAATGTTTATGTATTTTGGCGATTCATTTGATTGCACGTAAATCTGATTATTATATTTTGATTGATTATATTGTATGAATATTTATTTATTCATTCATCTGTCTATCCATCTATTCATTCATTCGTTCGTTCGTTCGTTCGTTCGTTCATTCGTTCATTCATTCATTCATTCATTCATTCATTCATTCATTCATTCATTCATTCATTCATTCATTCATTCATTAATTCATTCATTCATTCATTCATTCATTCATTCATTCATTCATTCGTTCGTTCGTTCGTTCGTTCGTTCGTTCGTTCGTTCGTTCGTTCGTTCGTTCGTTCGTTCGTTCGTTCGTTCGTTCATTCATTCATTCATTCATTCATTCATTTATTCATTCGTTCATTCATCAATTCATTCAGTCACCTACCCATCTATCTATCTATCCACCCAGCTGAGCCCCCAGGCATCGACCCGCGGACCACCGACTACCTCCTAACAAACATCAACGAACGATACGAGGACATAGAATGTTTCGCCCACGGCACCCCGACTCCGAAGATCACGTGGTACAAAGACGGCCTCCCATTGGTTGAAGGAAATAGGGTCAAGTTTTATAGGTCAGATGATTGATGGACGGAAGTTGATGGATGAGTTGATTATTTGCTACTGAAAAATTGATTGTATTGATGGTGAAGATAAAATGAAAATAAAAATACAAACAAGCTGGAAAGTTTAACTCTTACACATTTCATGTACTTTGTACGCAAACCAAGTCATGGCCGAACTGCAAAGGCACCAGGTAGGTACTTTTACATCAGGTACCTCCACACACTGAGATTTTTGAATTGAAGACGACAATGACAATTTTTATAATGACTGCAACAAAAGATGACAACAACTGACAATGCTTATGATGGCGATAGCATAGAAGAAGAAGAACAAAAAGAAGAACAAAAAGAAAAAGAGGAAGAAGAAGAAGAAAAAGAAAAAAAAAGAAAAGAAATAAGACGATGATGGCGAAGGCGATGATGATAGTGATTGCTAATGAGATGGTGACTGATGACATGAAATTATTGTTGGAGGAACATTAGCTGTCAAAATGATCGCCAAATGTTATGACCAAAAGAAATAGATGTTTTTGTTTTATTACTATCATTACCACTACTACTACTACTACTACTGTAGCTTCTACTACTACTATTACTGCAGCTTATACTATTACTACTTAACTACTACTACTGATATTACTATTAATATTTTTATAAAAATAATTATCATTCTTCATCGTCGTCGTCGTCGTTATCATCATCATCATCATTATTTCGCCCCTAAGACTCCAATTTGCAAAGCTTTGAACACTCTTGACTTATTGAAGAGAGCATTGTAGTTTACGGTAGTAGTAGTAGTAGTAGTAGTAGTAGCTGCAGCAGTAGTAGTAGTAGTAGTAGCTGCAGCAGTAGTAGTAGTAGTAATATTTCTTTTTCCTTTTTTTCTTCCTATTATTTTGTGTTAGTAATTTTTGCTATAACATTCGCAATATAAATTTTTCATCTGTCTGTAATTTGATGATTGATGCGGGTCTAATTACTTAGTAACAAAAAGTGCTTATCTTCAAATTAGTAGCAATACAGTAGAGTGCTATTACTATGTTTTAATTTTGAAATTTCCTAGAAGATTTAATGACGCTAAGATTGTTAATCAGGAAAAATAAATTTTTCTCAATTTTTTAAGCTTTTTGGTTGACTATGCAAAATTGTCTTTTCCGCCTGGCTTTGAAATTTTTTTGGCCCTGTTTCAACTTCTGGTTGAATGTTTCCGTCTGTTCATCTTTTTATATCTTTTATTTTGTCTATCTTTTTTATTTTCTCTCGTTCTTCCATCTATCTATCAATCTATCTAGCCTAATGATATCATTCATGTTGTCGATCTGTCTATCATCTATTTATTCATTCATTCATACGCCTATCTGTGCAACCATACAATATTTATAATATTAAGTAAAATGTGTACATACCAAGCATACAATAATGTAAAAACATCCCAGAAAATGCAACTATATAATGCAACTTTTAGGTAAATTACTTAATATTAATGTGCACATATACCCAAACCTTTGATCATTTAAATGACATATTTATATATTATACATATATCCATACCTACATCTATCCATTAGTCTATCCATCTATTCTTTATTCTTTCTTTCCATCCATCCCTCCGCTGGTCAATTTATCATAATTTCAATCAACCTAAAAATATATTAATCAATTTTTTCAACTGTAAATGTGATACATCAATTTATTTTTGTACATAATTTTGATTCATTTCTCATTCATTCTTTTATTCATTCATTCGTTCACTCTTTTATTCATTTGTTCCCTCATCGTTTATTCAATTTTTTATTCATTCATTCCGTCATATATTCATCTATCTTTCCATCAATCAATCTAAGATCATTATTGTCTTGCGACTTGAGAATATTGCAAACGTCATTTCGATAGAGAGATTGACAAAAGAGAGAAAAAATGTATGAATGGATAAAGAGATAAAAAATAAATGAATGAATGAATGAACGAAAGACCGACAGACGGACGAAGAGATAATTTATTGAATGAATATTTAACAGAACGACAGATCGAACAAAAAAAAAGAGTGACTGATAAAATGATGGATGGATGGAAAGATGAAAATCTGATAGAAGGACAGACAAATGAATGTTTGATTCGTATTATTGATGAATGAATCACTGAATGGATGAATGAATGATTGATTGATTGGCAGCACTTTGAAATTTTTTGACTAGGAAGATGATGTATCTTCGTAAGCGCGCGTGCGCGCACACCCACCCACCTACACACACACACACACACACACACACACACACACACATACATTCCTATTAGAAGTGAGCAGAAATTTGCCCATTCCGGCCCATCATTCTCGATTCCCGGACAGCGATTCCCCAAAAAAAGTCCCATTCACGAAAATTAAGTTTAACAAATTCCCATGGGAATCATGGGATTCCCGTTCCCATGCTCACCTCTAATTCCTACACACTCGTATTCACAACGAATACCGCACAAAAATGCACACAATCATACAACTTGATTGCATGGAAATATACTGTGACAAAGCATACAAACATTTGAGTTATTTATACAAATATAAAGAAAATTACGAATATACATACAATGTTTTTATGTATATATGAGTGTATGTATGTGTGTGAGTATGTATTTATATGTTTGTGTGTATATGCATGTATAAAAATACCGGATCAATAAAGATAACGTGTACCCACACGAGCGTACGCGAAAATTGTACAGAGAAATCGATATCTTATACTAGGTCACATGATTCGATTTTTGATTCTATAACGTTACATCTATAAACAAACACACCACACAAACACACACACACACGCACACTTTTCTTAATATCTTTCTATATTTTTTATTGCTCTCTTTCTTTTTCTATCTCTTCTTTCCGTCTTTCCTTTCTCTCTCTCTCTCTCTCTCTCTCTCTCTCTCTCTCTCTCTCTCTTTATCTTTATCCTTCTCTCTCTCTTTATTTTTCTCCTTCTTTCTCTCTCTTTCTCTCTGGTTTTTTGTCATCCGTATACATCCACACATACATTCACACATACATCCACACATACATCCACAACATTCATACATAAATAAACAATTGCACTTATTTGGAAACCATACATACACCCATTTTAAAGAACTATCACTATTTATAAATACACAAACAAACACACATGCAAACACACACACACACTCACTCCTACACGCATATATATATACACACACACAAATACATTCATACGTAGATTTTCTCAAGTATCAAGAAACATTCCTGAAAAATAAAAAAAGACATTAGAAGCGTAAAAAAGCAATATACTCGTACCAAAGCATACATTCACACATACGTGCACCTACACGCATATATACACATACACGTACACAATACATAATTACGTACACACACATACATACACGCCTACACACACACACACACGCACACACACACCTATATACAAAATGATACAATACAAATACAAAGAGTACCCGACAGATACACATCTGCAATGTTTGATAGAGGCACATTATTCATTGCAGACTCACACAATGCATTAAATTCAACTGCCTCACGGGGATTATTAATTTTCTCATGGACGTATACAATCGTTCATAATTATTCTTAAATAAACAAACACACACATACAGACACACACACACACAGACACACACACACGACTCACAGACTCACATATACACAGACTCATACACACATACATACACAAACACACACACAAACATAGACACAAAAACACACAGACATACACACACA